GCGCCGACGGCTTGTGTGGTTAAAGCTCCGACTGACAAAATTCAGTCAGGTTTCGATCCTAACTAGAGGCAAACGGATCCTCTATATACACTGATGAGCTGTTCGGAAAACAGTCTGTTCATATATATATATGACATTTATATATATATATATATATATATATTCTAAATAGACAAACATACGGCTCATGGGCATATCACGTTGAATCACTGACTCTAGTATAATCAACGAACTACTTAAGCAACGGTTATGGCAGATGAGTACGCAAATTTAGTTTTTATAGTAATAATAATAATAATATTAATAGTAATAATTTATATATATTATTAATATTAATTTATATGCTAAAGTCTCTGTGTGTGTGTGCGTGTGTGTGAATTCTTCCATTAATAATAAAAAAGCAAAAGCCAACTTTCAATAATATCAACTACGAACACGGCCACAAATGCTGACCGTGTTTGTAAATAAAAATAACACCACATCTCTCTCTCTCTCTATATATATATATATATATATATATAAATATATATATTTACATCATATTATATGCGACTTAAAAGAAACCAATAAAACACCTAAAGTAAAATGGAAATTAATAAAAAAAGCTAGAATATGTAGGTCATTAAATGTTCCATGTCCTTTGTGCATACATGAGAAACTATATATTACTAAGTTTATAAAAAATAAAAATTTACTGAATCAAAGAAATAAAATAGCTATTCTTTGTCGTCATTGTCAAAAATTTTCCTTAAATAATATTTAAAAATAAAATAAAATAATTAAAAAGTAAAAAAACATAGCATCTGGTAATATACATAATTATATTTGATATGAAATAATAATTTTTAAATAATTCTATTACTTGATTTAAAAAGGAATATAGTCTATTAGTAATTAAGAGTAAAAATAATATTTTAAAATTGTAGTTAAATAAAACCTATTTTAACCCAAACACCCCTTTTAGAAAGAATCTTTAAGTATACAAGTACGAATTTAATGAAAAAAATGCCGAAAAACTTTTTGTCGTTAATAAAAGACACCAGACGACATGCGTTTAACGGATGTCAGAACTCGTTGCTAAAATGCACCCCTACCCACCCTAAACGTAACCTCTTTTTCGAACGTAACTCATAATTGATACAACAATAGTTAAGAAAAATGAACACGCTACCGCCCCTGTCTAAATGATTGGATTTCTTTGTATCCTTGGAAACAGGAAATTATGAATTAATATGTGCATTTAAAATTCGGTATATTTAAAAATAGGTTATTCCAAAATTCGCTTGAAGATGAAAACGAACTAATGCTTTTAATTTAATTATATAATTAAATCTGAAGTTTTTAGCTTCGGTTTTTGAAACATGGTTATTACTGTGTAGCGAAGAAACCATATTTTAAATCAGTTAATTTGTAATATTTATGATCTGTAAATTTACATTGAGCACTGTTTTGTAAAAATAAAAAAATATCAATAAGAACAGCGAATTATATATCTTATTGTTCTTTCTTTTTATTATATATATATATATATATATATATATATATACACAAAAGAAAGTGGTCGTAATGGTTCCAACGAGAGAAAAGTATGTATATTAAAAAGAAGAGAAGAGAGTGCCGCAAACGTCTTTGGTTGTAATGTGGATTTAAAAAAAAAATAATATTATTCTTTATTTTCCATAATTTTACTACACGTGTTTCTGGTCTCGTGACCGTCTTCAGGTAAAAGCGGAGATTTCCACATATTAATAAAAATAATTTTTTTTCCTTATGTTTTTTCAATGTTAAATATTCTCGATATGAGACATTCTCTGTTTTTTTTTTAGTAATCGAATGCCTTTCTTGAATTATATCTATCTATCTATCTATATATATATATATATATATATATATATATATATATATATATGATTGTGCATATATGTGTGTGAATCTACATTTTTTTTAAATCCTAGATAATGGCTAAGAGATTATTAGAATGTGCTGGAATACCCAAAAAAGAAAATACTTGTACGAGTGCAAGAAAAAATCTATAAAATGATTAATCTCAGTGCTTTATCAGTCGTCTTCAATGAAACATATATATATATATATATATATATATATATATATATATAATTGCATATTTAGGCAACAATCCCTTTTTTATACATGTTTCATTAAAACGACTGACAAGGTGATGCTTTTTATTTAAACACATGAAAAATTCAAGATAAATTTTCATTCATGAACACAAGAAAAATTAAATAAAAACCTTAACCGTAATACTTTGTCATTCGTTTTTAATGCAAAATCAGGGTGAACGTCTTTATGTATTGCGTTCAAAACTAAACGGATTGTCGAAACTCGGTGTAGACCTCAATGTTATTTTCACATGCTCTATCCCTGATGTGGATCACTTTTATCCATACATATTGCTTTTTATATCATAAAATTTTAATTTTTTATCATTCATATATATATATATATATATATATATATATATATATATATATATATATAATTGGATTAACCATACGGATTACTAAGATTTTCGTTACTTAAATATATATATATATATATTTCATTGAATACGACAGGCAAGGTGCTTTGATTTAGTTTTTTATACAATTTCTCATGCGATCTAATAATTTTTTTCTTTTCCGATAATAAATTATATAAAAACTGTCCGAATGTTCTTTTTATCCGAGCGCTTTCAGTTATCCAGTTTGCCATTTTCAAGGATGAAATATTTTAATGGTTAAATAAGAAATAGTTTAAACAGTTAAAATATTTCATCCTCTTCTTCTTCTTCTTCTACATCTTCTTCTTCTTCCTCTTATTATTATTATTATTTGCTAACTTATCTAGCTTTTAGATATTTCAACGTGTTATGATAGTCATATGTCGGTTCATGACTGCACCTTAACGGCACATGAACTGATTTCAGTAACGTTGTCTCGCACTTATTATTATTATTATTATTATTATTATTATTATTATTATTATTATAAATAATAATAATAATAGTAAAATTAGTAAATAGAACAAAGCAATGTAAAAGAAGAATAAAATGAAGAGAAACGGAAAAAAGAATGAAAAATAAAATGAACGAAAATATAAGTAATTTTTTAGAAATAAATTAATACACAAATATGAATTGGAAAAGTTTACAAGAAAGCAAGGAAGGAAGAAAGGAAATATAGAAGGACAAAAGGAAAGAAGGAAGAAAGGAGGAAGGAAGGAAGGAATGAAGGAAGGAAGGACAGAAGACAATGGAAAAGAGAGGGGAAATGACCGAAAGAAAGTAAGAAAGAATAGATAGATAGATAGATAGATAGAGAGAGAGAGAGAGAGAGAGAGAGAGAGAGAGAGAGAGAATGTACAAATGAAAAAATTGACGCAAAGAAAGAAAGTTTTGAGAAAGATTTCATAAAATAATAAAAATGTAGAAAGAAAGAAAAAAAATAGAAGCGAGAATTAACAAAAGAGAGAAAGAAAGAATCGCTAAAAGAAGGCACAGCTTGTTATTCATCCAATGTGCACGCGTGGTGTGGCAGGTCATCATTTCCTCATTTTTGTTTTACCACTTAATTTATTAATTGCCCTTTCTCATTTGCTCACGTATATATATATATATATATATATATATATATATATATATATATATATATATATATATATATATATATATAATATAATACCTACAGTAAAATGAAAATTAATAAAAAAGCTTGGTCATTTACCCACGTATATATATATATATATATATATATATATATATATATATATATATATATATTATTATTTTTTAAAATCAGGAGATCAGTTAAATCTTTCTACCTATTAAACTTAAAACTCTACATATTATTTTTTTACTTTTATTATTTTATTTTTTTCACACGTGTATTGAGCTCTTTTTAATACTACTGTTTCCTGGTCTGATAGAACTCTAACCATTAATCTTTTATGTATTACACACACACACATACATATATATATATATATATATATATATATATATATATATATATATATATATATAGATAGATAGATAGATACATACATACATACATACATACATACATACATAAATACATACGGGGTGTAACAGAAAAAATTTCCAATTATTAATTTAAGTTTGAAGCGTTGTATCTTAAAACTGATTAAAGATATCTTACTGGAATTCTCTGAGATTTTTATAACACTATTGGACTCTACTTTGAACAATACGAATGTATTTAGCTCTAAGTTGAAATGATGATCCCTCTTGTTGTTGTTGTGACCTCCTGATCCAATTTTCCTCTCTATTTCCCCCCCCCGCTTTTTTCTTTTTAAACCAATTCACCGTTCTCTTGATGATTCTTGAATGGACTTTGCATTAGAAAGAGAGAAATAATGAGGGGGGCGAAAAAATTCGTAACAGAAAGAAACAAAGAAAGAATCGACAAAAGAAAGGGAAAAATGAAGGAATCAATCAATGAATGAATTGAAGGAAAAAAGAAAGAAAAAGAAAAGAATTGACAGAGAGAAAAAAAGAAAGAAAGAACGAATCAACAAAAGAAAGCAAAAAGAATGATGGAATATACAACAAAAGGATTAATGGAGAGAATCGACAAATGAATTAAAATATAAATAAATAAAAAGGAAGAAAGAAAGAATCGACAAAAAAAAGAAAGACGGCATAAGAAAGAAAAAAATGAAATAAAGAAAGAAAGATAATGAAATGAATTGACAGAGAAAGAAAGAAATAATTGACAAATGAAACAAAAGAAAGACGGAAAGAAAGGGAATAATTTACATTGGAAAGAAAGAAAATAATTCATAACAGAAATAAAGAAACAAAGAAAGAAAGAAAAAAGAAAGAAAGAATCGACAAAAAAAAAGAAAAAGAAATAAGGGAATCGAACAAGAAAGAAAGAAAGAATGAAAGGGAGGAAGAAAGAAAGGAAAGAAATATTTCATAAAAGAAAGAAATTCATGAAAGAAAGAAAAAAATGGACAAAAGAATGAAAAAAGTATTAGGCAATCAAGAAATGAAAGAAAGTAAATAAAAGAAAGAATGGATGAAAGAAAGGAAAAAGAATGACGTAATCAACTAATGAAAAAGAAAGAAAGAAGGGAGAAAGAAAAAGAAAAGTATTGACAGAAAAAAAAAGAAAGAATGAATTGAAAAATGAAACAAAAAGAAAAAATAGACAAGGAAAAATGAGAAAGCAATCATCTGCCAAAACGGAAGTAAAAAGTGAGAAGCGACAAATGACAAAAAAAAAAAAAAAAAAAAAGAAAGAAAAGAAAAGTAGCTGGAAAAGAATTGTCCAACGATAACAAAATAATAAAAAAATGACAAAATGTGTGGAAAACAGATAAACGGAAAATGGATTATATGTAAGAAGAAGAAAAGAAAGCACAAAAGAAAAGAAGAATAAAAAAGAAGGAAGTTTTAAAAGGAGGTTCGAGAAAAGTGTAAAAGTGTGGGTGAAAATGAAGAAAACTTGCAAGTAGCAATAGGAAAGAAAAGGAATGGGAAATAAAAAAAAAACAATATATGATAACATAATGGAAGAAATAAGAAGTGAAAGGATAAATGAAAGGAAAAAGAAGAAAACGAGAAAATCTATAAAGGAAAGATGGGAGAAATTCGATGAAGAAAAAAAGAAACAAGAATGATTGGAAAGAAAGAAACAGACGATAACTAGAAAGAATTAGATAATTAGAAAGAAGGAAAATAATTCATAAAAAAAGAAAGAAAAAAAGAAATAATCGACAAAAGAAAGAAAAAGAAGTGAGAGAATCGACCAAAGAAAGAAAGAACGAAGGAAAGGAAGGAAGGAAAAAAAAGAAGGAAAGACTTCATAAAAGAAAGAAAGTAATGAAAGAAAGAAAAAATGGAACAAAAAATGAAAAAAGAATGAGACAATCAAAAAACGAAAGAAAGAAAGAATCGACAAAAGAAAGAAAAAGAAATTAGAGAATCAACCAAAAAGAAAGAAAGAAAGAAAGAAAGAAAGAAGGAAAGCAAGAAAGGAAGGAAGAGGGGTAGGAAGGAAATAATTCATAAAAGAAAGAATGTAATGAAAGAAAGGAAGAATGGACAAAAGAGAGAAAAAAGAATGAGGGAATCAACCAACGAAAGAAAGAAAGAAAGAAAGAAAGAAAGAAAGAATCGAGAAAAGAAAGAAAAGGAAATGAGAGAATCGACTAAAGAAAGAAAGAAGGAAAGAAAGGAAGGAAAAGGGGTAGGAAGGAAATAATTCATAAAAGAAAAAATGTAATGAAAGAAAGAAAGGATGGACAAAAGAGAGAAAAAGTGGGAGGGAATCAACCAACGAAAGAAAGAAAGAAAGAAAGAAAGAAAGAAAGAAAGAAAGAATGGAGAGAATCAACAAAATAATTAAAATAATAAATAAAAAGAAGAAAACGACACTCGACTAAAGAATGAAAGAAACAGACAATGCAAGAAAGAAAGAAAGAAAGAAAGAAAGAAAGAGAAACTAACAAAAACAAATTAATATTTTAACATGAAAATGTCGAAAATAAGAAAACTTGAAATGTGCCGGAGACAAAAATCGGAAGACTGTATGAATAAACTAAAGACAAACTTAAAGCAAGCATATAAATATAAAATCCATTCGACTCATAAGATCTGTGACCGGGTGAGGCTGGGCGAATGAATAAATGACACAGAAAGAGAAAATAGTCAGAGCTTAGCTAAGTAATTTCTTCCTCTAGATGACGTCGCTGTGAGATGGTTAATCAAGACATCATAATAAAAATTAGGATGAAATGCTGAAAGTAAGTCTTGATGATCCAACACATTCAATTCGATTATTTAATAATAAAGCATTCATATGTTGCACCCCAAATCCAAGAAGCCATAGTACAAATATAATTCGCGGGTTTCATTTTCTTCTTAACAAGCGGATTATATTCAATCCTTGTCGATAATTTGCGGGATTATTGATTTATTTTTTTTGTATCTACTTTTATGATATGTCAAATATTTCGGCTAGAACAAAGAAATAAATATGATTATATTTAGCATATATTAATGTAATGGACGGCACCTCGACCGCTATGTTTTGGCTGGGCTAATAGATTTTATGACATATCAAAACATGGGTTATGTAATATCGAAATCTGTTTTATCGTGTTTTCTTTCACAATCCACGTTTGCATACAGATTCATAATATACATATATATATATATATATATATATATATATATATATATATATATATATATATATATTTCAGGCAATAACTATTATATCATATTCATGCTCGGTGTAGATGAACAAACGACATAAAGGAAAGCCGAGTCAAAAGTGAATATTAATGACAGTGCTCCATCAAAAAAATTTAGACAACTTCAGACTATTAGATCTTATTACTACTGAGTGTAAACAAGCAAGAGAAATAAGATGAAAGAAAGACCAATCAAAAATTAATAATAATGACAATGCTTCGTCTACGGAATTCAAAACTTCCGACTATTACGTCTTATTACAACTAGGTGTAAACAATACAAGTGAAATAAGATGAAAGAAAGATTAGACAAAAAATATAATTAAGACAATGCTTCATCTAAGACAACTTCAGACCATTATATCTTATTATTATTGGGTGTAAACAAGCAAGAGAAATAAGATGAAAGAAAGACCAGTCAAAAATTAACTATAGTGACAATGCTTCATCTACGGAATTCAAAAACTTCCGTCTATTACGTCTTATTACAACTAGGTGTAAACAATGCAAGTGAAATAAGATGAAAGAAAGATTAGACAAACATATAATTAAGACAATGCTTCATCTAAGACAACTTCAGACCATTACATCTTATTACTACTGGGTGTAAACAAGCAAGTGAAATAAGATGAAAGAAAGATTAGACAAAAAAAATATAATTAAGACAATACTTTATCTAAAAGATGCTGACAGCTCCAGACTATTGCATCTTATTAAAAAGCAAGAGAAATGTGATTAAAAATGGAAGAGTAAAAAATTAATAGTAATGGCAATCAGCTGAGGGAATGCTATAGAGAAGACTTGCTGTCACTTGCTCTCTCGTAGAAGCCAATGGATACTACTGGTGTAAGATTTCAACGAATATTAAATGAAACAAAAAAATAAAAATATTATAAACCATTTTGGTTTTAGTTGATGTCGCGAAAACTGAGGTCGATATTCTGGCTCTCAAAATACCATTGATTTTCTCTCCTCGAACACTTCACACTATCTGAGAAGTACAGCGGCTTTCAGCAAAGACACTGGACTCTGTATTTAGTGTTACGGATTCCAGTCCATTATCGACCGAGTCGATTCTGAGGAGTCAATGCCCTTGGGAAAGTAACACACCTCGGATGTCACACGGGGGGGAAAGAAAACACATTTTCAATCTCAGCTGCAAGCAGATTCAACAATGAAAATAAAACCTCACTAATGCCCTTTTTTTTTGCAAAATTTTTCAGATTTTCATTCTTTAAAAAAAATATTTAAGCGAGAAATATAACTGAAAGATGTAATAGTCTACTTCCTTAGCAAACTTACCATGAAGTTAAGTCTGACACAAGGTTAGTTCAGCACTTGTACTTATCGATGGTGCCAAATAATTTTCAGCTGTCTAGGTACTTCTGTTCAGGTCCTAGGGATTCAACTTGAATGGTAATTCCACCTAGCAAGCAGACATTTTGAATTTTTGTAACACGTACGATCTTCCTGGGTATGACGATAAACTACATCCAACAACAAGACAGCGTGAGATTGAAGTTTTTGAGGAGCGTTAAACCACCTCTTTAAACTGTTGTTACCTGGTTCACGCTGACTTGGGGTGGTAGCATCTGTTCGGGTCCCAGCTATGGATAAATAGTGAAAAGGTACTGTTGATTTTTTGTTATTAACAAAAAATCAACAGTACATTTTTATAATAAAACGATCAGCAATGCATATTTATAGCAAAATGACAATTAATGCAACATTAAAAAAAAGACATAAAAATATTTTTATTTTAATTTTGTAATTTTATTATTACCAATAATACATTTTACGATCTACAAACTATATATCTAAAAAAATAATAAAAATTATAAAATTATGTACAAAATATCCGTAATTGAAAGCATAAAATTAACGTAATTCCCCGTGTATAATACGCTTTCATCCATAAAGGCAATTGTGCTGAAAGTGTGGGAAAATCTTTTATTCACACATAATTCGCATCCCTTGATTGGTAATCAAACCTTATAAATTGTACCTCTCCATTTTCATTACGGCCAGCATTTCCTGTTCTTATTTTTAAAAAATGTTTTAAACGTAGAATAATATTATTCTAATTTAGTTTTATGATAATTCTTATTTTATTTTATATTTGTAAGTATTGTTAGGTACATATGATTGTATTTGACATCCTTATGGGGTCGCAATCGCCGAATGTTAGTGTCAAATTGTCATATGTTTGGGGTGAGTAGTCATTTCACAACTGAAATCGACCTATGAAACGTCAATTTTTTAGAGATATTTTGTAGCTGTGCATAATACGTCCCTTAATTTTGATTATTATTTTTTGGGGGTAAAAAATGCGTATGTTACATGAGGAATTACAGTAAGTACAAAATATTTTGATTTCGGCATTAAATGGACCATACAAGTGTTGATATGCCGCTAAACAAAATCAGTCTGAAAGTTTACCGTCTCGGGATTTCAGCAGAGATCTAACATTGTCCTTGTCGGCATCCCTTGCATCAGATCATCGGAATCGCCATCCTCTCTCCATATTCCCTTTCACCCCCACCCCTGGAGATTGCTGTGATTCAAAGAGGGGGTTTGATGAGGCCATTTGCGTGAATTTGATTTTGGTGGACAACTCTGGGCGACGGAGAAGCCCACAAAATTGACCCAGAAGCGTCCGGCTGTCGGATGCTTGACCGTCAATATCAGCCTTGGTTGCGCCAGTCCGACTAACGCTGCCGTCTTCTGCCGGTTTTGCCGTTGATATTTGGCTAACCTGCGCTATCGGATGCTTGGTCTGCCCTCTTGCAAGTATTTGTCAAGTTATAATCGGTTAAACTTACCGTATATTTCCGCGTTTAAGGCGACCGTTAAATAAGACGAGGTAAAAAAAAAATATGGCACATTTTCATGAATGTATCCTATACCTGTAGTATAAGACGACTACTTATTGGAAATGTTCCTATTTACTATATCCTTAGAAATTCCAAAACATGAAATGACAAAACTGATTCTACATCATGTTTTTCTTGAACACATCCCATAAAAGAGAAACTATTAATTTTTTACGTTTCATCACGTGATCTTCTTTCTCTTCACTTCCTAAGTCTAAACAGTTACAAACAGCCTGGTGTACTAATGGCCATTTACTTATACATCATCGAGAATCACAAAATACCGCTAATATCAGTGCAATAATGTAAAATAATAGTACATTCCACTTTTAACATTTTTTTTTATTCAGCCTTTTATTTATCATTGAAAGTTTAGCGAAAGATAAATGTTAGCTATGAACGCAATCATAAATCGATGTTTACATTTTCTCAGCTGAGCTTGCATGGATACAAGTTGATTTCATTGATATGGAATCATTCTTCGAATAGACAATTTATTATGAAGTTATGCCATTAATATATATTATTAGTTATGCCATTTATATAAGTTTGATTACTTTTATTATCACTTTATTTAATAATATGAATCTTTTCATTATCAGTTATTGCACCGAGGCCAATGTTAGCCTTATGACAAACATCACTCAGAATTTAAGGTTTCTTTTTTGAGAATCCTAGAATAAGATGACCACCAATTTTTAAGGGTGATTTTGAGGATTTAAAGAAATATATATGTATATATATATATATATATATATATATATATATATATATATATATATATATATATATATATATATATATATAAACCTCCTGAGCCAGACAAACCTACCCAGGTTTCACCTAAGCGGATCGTCAGGGAAATATCTCCTCCCCTTTTAGTTGAATAAATCTTTAATTAAAAATGTTTGTGTTTTCTTGATCTTTGGTCATGTGGTATAATTTTAACTATCACCTATAAATATGCGTTTCTCTTTTGCCTCTTTAGCCAGCTTTCCCTGACGATCCATTTAGGTGAAACCTAGGTAGGTTTGTCTGGCTCACTAGGTTTATCTAGGTCTGCTCTACGGTTGTATTGAGCTCTTTTGTTAGTTGTTTACTCGTATCAGGGTTTTTTCTTTGGGCTTTAAACCTATATCTGTGCGATTTTTTTCGACAGACTTTCATGTTTCTAGCTCTTTCTTTTTTTTAAAACATTTTCCCTCGAGAATGATTTGATTATTGGCAAATCAAAAATTCGAGGGTTTTTCGAAACGAATATAGTTACCTATATATATATATATATATATATATATATATATATATATATATATATATATATGTTTTCTTTCATTCCAGTTTTGTTGCTGTTTTCTCGTTAATTACTGTATCCTTAGAAATTCAAAATAAACAAAATCACAAAACCGATTCAATATCATGTTTTTCTTAAAGGAAACTATTGTTTTGTTTACATTTAATCATGTGATCTCTTACAAATACTGATTCTTCTTCTTCCTCTTCTTTTCCTATATCTAAACAATTACAAACAGGCTGGTGTACTAATAGCCATTTACTTATACTTCTCTGTAATAATGAATTTTTAATGAGAAAAAATGAATATTATGTAATCATAAATGTTATTACTGCCGTAATTAACACTACCATGAGGATTATTGAAAGTTTAGCGAAAGATGAAGGTTGTCTGTGATCGCAATCATAACTCTTCAGCTTAGCTTGCATAGAAAGTTGATTTCATTGTGTTATGGGACCTTACCCATAATAACATAATGGACTATTCCATACGTAATAAATACTGCGCCTCAAGAGGGAGTTCAGCCCGAAGCCGGGCGACCGGCTGACCGGCTGATCGGTTGAACTTTCTGCCTTCGGGCGGGGAGGCACCCGAACGAGGCTACGCCGACGAACCTCTTTCAGGGAGGTAAACCGACCCTGAACCCGTTTTCAAAAGGCATATTTTTGGCCGAGCCCACGGGCTCGGAGATCCCACGTTAAACCGGCCTTGTGCCACATGATGCCCTCGTGGGGTGGGGTGACTAAATACCGTTCAGTCTGAAGTGTGGGCCGTCAGGAGTCTGTCAGTCAGTCAGAGCGTGCGAGTCAGTCAGTCAAGTCAGAGGCAGTCCGAAACAGTGTCGCGTTCAGACAATTACTACGAAACCTGATTGTTCTTACTAACACTTTCTACTTCTCTGTATATATTCCTGTTTGTAATATATCTGTGTTATTCCATATACGTGTTCGAGTTCTTCTTTATTGGTTCTACCTTGGTGTATACCGCGGAACAAGGAACCAGACTATAACATATTGATATGGAATTATTCTTCGAATAGGCAATTTATTATTAAGTTATACCAGTAATATATAAGGTAGAAATGGTTTTATTACTTTTAGTATCAGTTTATTTGATAATTTAAATCATTTCATGTACGTTATTGGTTTCTTTTTTATCGTACAGAGGCTGATGTTAGTGGATAGCTACCTCCGAAACATCTCTCAAAATTTAAGGTTTTCTTTTTTGAATTGTAGCATAAGAGGACACCCAATTTTAAGATGGTAATTTTCTAGGATTTAAAACATCGTCTTATACACGGAATGTATATATATATATATATATATATATATATATATATATATATATATATTTTCTGGGGACTTATCCCGCGTTATTAACTTATATAAACACCCAGTATCAATCATGGAACCACCAGAAAAATAAAAAAAGTATAAATAAGTTTTATTTTGGTTTAAATCCTGGAACCTTAAAATGAAAGTTTAAGGAAAATTGAGGTTTATTGAAAGAAAAGATAAAAAGGTTGCTGTGAATGCAATCATAACTCAGTTTACATTTTCTCAGCTGAGCTTGCATAGATACAAGTTGATTTCATGGATATGGAATTATCCTTTGAATAGTGTTGTGGGGCTCTCCCCTTTTTACATAAGATGGACTCGTTCAAAGTATACTTATACTGATAGAGAGAATACCTGCTGTTGAGCTACGTCGAGATACAGTCTCGACGTCTGTCGAACTCTCTGCTTTGGCAGAGAGGAACCCGGACGAGGCTTTGCCGAAGGGCAAGGTTTCGTCCGGGAAGGTATACAGGCCCTGAACCCGTCTAGGCGGGTTCAAAGGGTATATTTTTGGCCGAGCTCACGGGCACGGAGAACCCCACTTTAAACTCGGCCTTGTGCCACATATATTCCTCGTGGGTGGGATATTAAATACCGAGATACGTGGAGATACGTTGAGATACGTTGTGACAGGTTGAGAGAT